TCATGATACACTTCATGGGAGGGGAGTTCCGAACTATCACGAGATGGCCTGAGTACAGGGTGGAGGCCATCATGGCTCCGACCCTACCCCTCTACATGTGAAGCTCGTACTCCATGACCTCCAAGACAAGAAAATAGTTTCAAGAGAGGGAAGATTATATCACATACAGTTCGCTTAGATACTTTAACGTTCAACCCGTACGTCAGTTGTCACCGAGTGCCAAAGATTTATGTGGAGGTAAGTCCAGGATAAAGGAGGCAGAATTCGTCCGGAGATGGAGACAGAGAGGAGCAAGAGCAGGCGCAAGAGCACGGAGGAGAGAGGGGAGGAGCAAAGCGGGAGCGGGAGCGGGAGCAGGAGCAAGAGGACAACTGATGAATGATCAGCTCGGGCTTCCCTCCAAGTTGGCGATTCCACATGAAAAAATCAGAAGATTCATCTGTGCTGTTCGCGCGTGAGTGACATACGATGAAGATCAAGACGATGGAGGAGGAGAAGTTGATGGTGCCTTTGATGATGTTGTTGTTGTTTGTTGTTGTTGTGGTGATGGTGGTGGTGATGGTGGTTGTGATGATGACAAATGCAAGTCAATGGTGGTGGTGGTGGTGGTGATACATTGGTTCAGGCACATGTACGACAATCCTTACCATAACTTCCATCATGCCTTCGATGTCACTCAGGTAGAGCGGCGGGCAAGAGTTCTGACTCGGACATTCCTGATGAAAGCTCCTTGCAGACTTTCTACGCTCTGCTTCACATCACCAACGTGATCGAGGAGATTTCAGAGCTGCTGCAGGTAACGACAACAAACTTGTGGAGGAGGAGAGCTGTTGCTCAGGTCGTCGCAGTTTGCCTGTCTGTTCTCTGCTCTCTGCCATGATCTCGAGCACCTCGGCGTGAACAACAACTTCCTCTCAAAGGTGCGGGCCCATCTCCTTTTCCCTTCTTCCTCTTTCTTTCTTTCTCCCTCTCCTCCTCTTCCCTCTCCTTCTTCTTCAGCTCCTCTACCTGCTCCTCCTCCACTCTGCCCCTACCTTCCCGCTTCTCCTGCATTCCTCTCCCCTTCTCTCTTCCTCCCACTCTTCTTCTGC